TCCTTCCTTCCTTCCTTCCTTCCTTCCTTCCTTCCTTCCTTCCTTCCTTTTCCTTGCTGGAGTATTTGAAAGCGAGGAGGCGCTTGGTGATTCAGTCAGCAGATTTTACACACAATAAGGCTAAAAGGCTTTGAAGGATGTTTCTCTTCTTGGAAAGAAGGTGTGGGACCTCTCAGTCAAGGTCTTGGATCAGTTTAGACTCTCATCTTAAGGAAAGGTGGCGGGGAGGAGAAATAACTGGTGGGCTTGAATGCCAAAGAATGGGTTGAGACTGGAAGGGCTGTTGAGCGGGAACACAGTTCATTTCAGTTTCTTATTTTGATCGTTGGGGAGGGGTCTATTTTGAGAGGCATGGGGGAGCATAACTGAAGAATGGCTTCACCTCTCAGACACAAGGCAGACTACACTGGGGCGTCACACCTGTTGATATTATGGTCAATGATTACCCAGGCTTAGGGCTTGATGAGAAGAAATATTGACATGTAAAATCTGTGGGATGGGGGAAGGAAGGTTGCAACCTTTGCATGGAGCATGATTGATTTCTGAATCTCAGACAACACAAGAATAGCCCTGCTGGATCAGGCCAAAGCCTCTCATGGTCCAGTCACTGGTGGCTCACAACATCTTGTGGAATCCCTCAACCATCATTGTGCCAAAATAGACAGGCTTGTTTCCCCTTCAAGAATGTCTAGGGCTACTATGCAGATGATAGAAATCACTAGTGGGGAATGGAGTTGGCATCCCACAGTGGCTAATGGGACGCTTGGAGGATGCTTGCAAGCAGGAAGGGGAGATACACTCTTTTCCTACCATTGTTCCTCTGCAACCAGGATTTGGAGGCACGCTGTCCCCAATCCAGAGCTAACACTGAGTCTCTAGACTCATTGTCTTTAACAGACCTGTCTTCAAGGAAAGTATCCAATCCCCTTTTACTCCACATTAGCAGCCATCATTGCATCTTGTGCTACTGAATTCCAGAAGTTAATTAGGCACTTTTCCTTCATCGGTTTCTAAACCTCCTCTCAGTAAGCTTCATGGGATGACCCCTGGTCCTTGTGATTGTGGAGAGGGAGAACAAACTTCTCCCTATCTTCTTTCTCCATGCCATGCAGAAATCTAGGGCCATCATCTGTAGGCTGACTAGGAAGTCAAACAAACATCCTGGAAAAAGACAAATAATTTCCTAGTTTTGTTGTCAAGAAGCCACACAAACATGTTGATGAAGTCACCTGGAATTGGGCTCAGATTGTGGGCACTTTCCTTTTTTCCTCTTAAGAACATCCCTGTAATTGTTACAGTATTGTACAAGGACTGGGGGAGTGTCTACCATAATCCCCAGCCAAGACATCCAGTGTTGCTTGGGCATGTTATAGGCAAATACATTTGAGGGATATCAGGTTGGAGAAGGACTCAGATGAATTGCTGTGTTCATGAGCTATGAAAAGAATAGAATCCAACTAAGTGTTCTGAACCACACTTCCTTTTTACAATGTAATCTTGGATGTATCTAAATGCTGACCTTTGCAACTGGTTGTGAAATTTTTTCCCTCAAATCTTTGTAACCTTCTAATTAGGTGGCCATTCTGCCAATGTTTGCAGAAGGTCTTCAGGCAATGCAGTAATGATGTCACATAGCGGGCTTGGTATGTAACAAGAGCCGTGTGCTTGACACCTACTCCTCTGTGGGATATTGGTGTGGGTCAGTTGTGTGAGTTGCATGCAAGCTACTTGCCAAATGTGAGTAAGGGTGGCCACCAGCAGATCAAGTAAGGGAACTTTTCAAAAGTTAGCTGCTCTTCAATTTTAACTTTTAGACTTCAGAAAAAAACTGAAGACCTGGTTCTGCCATTACACATGGGGTGGGGACGGGAATAGTCAGTTTTGGGGTTGGCTGGTTCCCTAGTCTTACCTTTGACCGCTATTATCTGGTCACAGGCTGAAATAATATCACTATCTCTCGGATTTTATTGCATTTAATAATTATATTTTATATTTGTATTATTTATGTTTTTATTGATTTTAAATTGTTTTGCTGTGAACTGCCCAGAGTCCCTCCTTGTGGGGGAGCTGGGCGGTGATATAAATTTGACATATAAATAAATAAACAAATAAACTCACCGGTAACCGAAGAAGGTAGATGTGAGTAGATAGGTTGGTAATATATGTGTGTATGTGAGAGCCATTGTTTTTGTTCTTACTTGCAGTGCTGCAGTAATACTTGAGTAAAACCATGTCTTGGTCCAGTTTGCAAAGGGCAAGGATTGGTTAAGTTACTCAATACAATAATTGTTGCATTCTCTGAAGGACTGACTTGTCATGCAGAACTTTTCTTCCATTCACAAAACATATTCCATAATACAGCTGTTATTTATTTACGTGCCATAAACTGCTTCACTGTTTCTGTGGCTACAGATTAATACAGCTCTCAGACTCGAAATTGCTCCATTAGTCTTCCTGAGGCTGGAATTCAAGGTTTTAGATCAGTTGTTTCCCAACCTGGGTGCCTTCCACGTGTGTGAACATTAACTCCCAGAATGCCCTAGCCATCCTGGCCATTGCTGAGAATTATGGGAGTTGAAGTTTATACATCTGGAAATTTCTGGGTTGGAAAACACTGTTTCAGATTATATGAATGTTCCTTACTGCAGTCATCCAGGTTGCCGTGGGATGTTAGAACAATCAGAAAAATGGAACACCAAATTTTGTCTCGAGCTTAGAATGTTTTTCACACCAGTTGTGACTGTCCTGCTCCATTGCTTTCAACAGGACTTCACTGTATCCAACTCTTGCTGGACCTTGCCGAGCATTCTGTAATACACACCAGTCATAATAATCTTGGCTGGTCAAGTGCTTTCTCCAGTTCCAGCACTGATCCTAAAAGTTGCTGTTTGTGTCCATTGTGTGTGTTCTGCCCATAATAGGACACATTTCCAGGAGAAAAATGAATAAAGTCCTAGCTGTATGGCCATTCAGCAGATCATGGATTGAAATAAGGAAGGCTTCATGGAAAGAGAAGACTGGTGTGTTCAGATCCAAAGATCTGAAGTGCAGAATAGTTGGCTGTGTCTTCTTCTGTGGGGTCATCCTTCAGCCCCACCCAGATAGCAGATGGAGTACATGGCTCATAATACAAGGCTGCTGAGAGGTTTAAGAAAATAAATAGGTTTGTATCTCCCTCCTCTCTCCCCCTTATGGTCAGTCATCCACCTAGCTGTTTCAGTCCCCCAGCCCAACTAGATAATCAATATTTTCCAGCACTGTCTGGAATTGAGAGACCATCATGCCTGCAGGCATGCCTTTTAGCCCAGGGATGGGCTGTCTATAGTCCAGAGGTGGCATCTAGTATTCCCAGATCATGCCTTCAAAATTCAGCAGCAATGTAGCCAAAATTTGGTTATTTGATTGGGGGTGTTTCTGGGGGCTGGGGGGGAAGTCTTTAAGGGTGGGGATAGGAGTGGAGGGAGAGCAGTAATCCTCACAGGAAGCCTAGTGCCTGCAGAGACAGATGGAACTCTGTTACTTCCTGGTGGTGGTTGTTGATCTGCCTGGGGGAAAAGGAAAGACAGACAGACCAAGAGAATGGATGGCCTGACTGGGTTAGAGCCACCATGGGTAGAGTTATCAGGAGGTTCACCTGATAACATTCCCTTGTGTGGATGTGTCTGTGAAAAATCCCTCAGGGAGAGGGATTTCCCTCAAAATCCACTTTTGAGGAACCCCTCTAGGTGTTCATCTGGGCTGGCAGGTACAAGGCAAGCCAAACCCTCTCTTAATCCTCTTATGTCTAACTGGAATTACTTTGGAATGACTTTGCTTGGTTTTACTCCAAGTAAATCCTGGGCTATTGTAACCCTACAGCTGACTCGGTTCAGCTGTTCTCTTGGCACACTTCCGGCCTATGGCCCAGTTGAGTGCATCCTGCAAATCCAGCTGGTGTGTGTGTGTGTGTGTGTGCATAAAAGTCCCTCTTGCATGTCCTCCCAAGTGTGTGGCTTCAGCTAGATAAATCTCTGTGGTCTTGTTCTAGCTGCAACCCTCAGAGAGGTGGGGAAAAAATGACTTTTTTTCCATATTTGAAAGTTCCCTGCCATCTTTGCAGGCCAGCCAGTCATCGTCCAAGGCTGTTGTGACCCAAGTGCAATGCAGAAGGGATAGTTTTCCTCATATAGGGAAATTAAAGCAATTATACATTAGACCTGCCTAGGAAATGTCTTCATTATCAAATAAAAACAAGAGGGGAAGAGAGTCAATCTCAGAGCGGCTTGTTTTAAGAAATAGGTCTCTGGCATATCAGTTTAAAATATGTGTGTGCATGCTAAGAAAATGTGTTGA